GAGCTCCACTCAAGCCTGTGTAAAAAGGGTTGAGAAGGCCCTGCTGTTGAGGTGTGTTCGCTGGCACTCAATGCAAGCCCATGGTGTAAAAAGGGTTTAGGGTCCTAAACCCTAAACACTAAACCCTAATAGCGCGGTTTAGAGTTCAAGGCCGTAGGGCTCAAATGAGGTTCGGGGTATAAGATTTTCCAGGGTGGATGGCTTACAGATGTAGGGTTTAGGGTCCTGAGGCCACCCCGCCCGGGCTTCCCCGAGTATTCAGTAGTCAGGAGTTCTAGGTTCTAGAGTAGGAATGATGCGTGGGCTTGGGGATGTCTAGGGGGTGCGCGAGTTAGGTAATTTAGGCTTGTCAAAGGTGTTTCTAAGACTCTTTGCAGGTTTTTAGCGAGGTTTTCATTCTCCGTCATTTGGGGTTCTATTCTACAGATTCTGCAAGCGATGCGCAAGCGTTGTAAAGACGCCTGCATACGGTCTCACAGGGGTTTGCAGGGTTAGAAACTGGCAAGGACGAGGACCTTGGGTGTAGAGTATAGCAGTAGTTGTGGTTTAGTTGTGGGAGTGTATGGGGTAGTTTTCTAAAGTAGAGTCCCCTTTGGGGTCCTTTTTAATAAGGGTGCCGTACTATTTTGGGGACCCAAAAGGGACTCTAATTACTACCCGTATGGGCATCTTGCATTTTAGACCTAAGAGCGACAGTTTCAGGTGTAGGGTGCGTGAAGTGCATCGGGCTGGCCATGAGAGCATGGGCACTGCAGCCCCTCCTCAACAAAAGGTGTAGGATGCAGGGTTTGGGGGTAAGTGTTCAGGACTCCACTAGAAAAGACGAAGGAAACATAACACTTCAATATCTATGACTCCTCTGGATGCTACGGCAGAGAGACGGAGAGAGAGAGAGAGATGTGTGTCGGAATGGCCGCAAAGATTCCGTCGTACGACGGTCCTTTCAATGATTGAGGGTCACAGTTGCTATTTGGTACTGATACGACCCTGTTTGTGGTTTTGTGCTTCTTTCGTCGAAACTGAATGTGGTATCGCCACATGTAGCCGGTACAGCTCTGCTGAAGGTCTGCAACTCCTTTCTGGCAAGTTACAACATATGCCTGCGAATGCCAGGACGAAGCCAACGGCAAAGACGGCAAAGATAATTCAGACTGGAGCAACTGGTCTGGCTGGAAAGGAGGCCGGCTGTGCAAAACCACCCCGTGGCTGCGTTGGCTGTGAAGGTTTTGGGTAAAGTGCTTGTGTCCCGCCGTAGCCCTCCCGAAAACATACCTTTCTAGCATTCCTTATGATGGCTTCCTTCAATATAAGTCCCTAAGAAGGTAGGTTTTCAGTGTTGTAAGAATTGGGTACTGGCTTGGCGTTTACCACATCGCCGCCCATGCTTAATCCGCACAGACTCGTGGAGACTACAGCCAGTTAGTTTTGATAGGGGTAGTTGTCAAAATTATGGTCCCTTTTGGGATACCCTAAATAATATGTGCCGTATTATAATAAGGACCCAAAAAGGGACCATGATTTTGACAACCACCCATAGGGGCAAGTACAAGCAGACCTGAGGTCCCCCAAATCACACCCGAAACACGCAGGGACTAAACCGTATAAGCAGACCGGAGGTCCCTAAACCCTAAAACATGCAGGCACTAAGCTACTGCTGAAGGCCCCTGAACCCTCAACCCTAAGCCCGAAGCCCGTTACCCTAGTCGAACCCAACCATGCCTGGATACTGCAACAAAGACATGATCGAGCCGCCTGTAAAGTCTTCAAGCCTGAGCATTGAGCCGAACAGCTTGAAATCCCACACGACCTGCATTAGGGTCCCGTTTTGGGTCCCCAAAATAGTACGGCAGCATTCTCAAAAGGATCCTAAACAGGGGACCCCTGGTTTAGAGAACGACCCTTTTTGAGGAGGTGGCGGTGGCAACTCTTGGAACAAGTCCGATTGGAAATCCAACTGGAAGTCCCAGCAGAACCAGAAGTGGAAGGCCGGGGGCGCGATGTGTTTATGGATTTACCCTATGCTTCCAAGGACCTTATAGTTAGGGCCCTATAGACCCTTTAAGAACCCCATAAGAATGCCCTTGGAAGCCTAGGGTTATAGATGTTTTATAGATGTTCTTCGGGCTTGTAAACGAGCTGGAAGATTCGGTCTATGGATTAGGGTTTAGGGTTTACAGGGTCTAGGGCTGAATGTCTGAAGGTTTTTCAGCTACGGTAGAAAGGGTGTCACTCTGTCAGCTCTGCTGCTCGCCGATGCAGCATTGTCGTAACTCCCACCTTCATCCTTCAATAGCCTACTTTGTGTAAGGGTCCCCATTCTGAGTTCCTTGTATCTGTTGTGCAAAAATGTAGGTTCTGTGGGTTCGAGGCATAAATTCGAACCTAACATGACCTCACGGCAAGGCGTTTCTGACACTGTTGGCTGAAACGGAAACCGACATGAACTGGTAAACATAGGATGTAGGGTTTAGGGTGCAGATCCCGTCAGCTGGCAGACCCTGAGCAATTGGGAGTTTCCGAAAATTGGGGTACCTTATTTTGGGGTCCTTATATTTACTATATCAGGGTCCCCTATTTTCGGAAACCCCCAATTGGGTGTTACTCGGAATGAGGAGATGTTTTCCGGTCTAGTTGATGAAGACAGGGCAGCTCAAGATTGGTCCGCATACTTGTCGGCATATACCGACATATACACAATGCCGGTCGTTATCGCACAGTCAAAGTTTGCCGTGCAATCTACAGTGCTAATGAAGGCTCATGTTCATATGGAGCCCTTCCTGCAAGCAGTGTTACCGTCGTAGACGCAACGGAGACCCAAAGCCGCTAATAACGAAGCGCGGTTCAGGGCTTAGGCGGAGACGCACAGCGCTGCTCTTCCATTCCCAAGCCATGAGCTTCTGTGCTGCCAAGACCTTACATCCGGACAAAACAGGACCCGTTGGCATCTTTCCTTCATGAAAGATCCACCTACAGAGCCGAACCTCTCGAAGATTTCTCCAACAACCGACATCTCGCAGCTCCCGTGGCCTGAGTCAGCGCAATAAACATGAAGTCCCTAAACCCTAAAACCCTAAACCTTCGACCCGGAACCCTAAACCCTAAAACCCTAAACCCTAAAACCTAGCACTCTAAACCTTCTACCCGAAACCTTAATCAAAGAGGACTGGAAGTCCGATGGCGACAGCGGCTGGAAGAAGCAGAAAGGCATCGGGCTAAGGGCGTAGCATTGAAGCTTCGAGATTTACCTATATTACTTTACTGTTAATATAGGACCCCAAAACAATGCGTTAATCATTAAGGCTAAGGGCGTAGTATAGAAGCTTCGATAACTACCAGTATTACTGCTAATACCATAAAGGAGCTAAGGGCATAGTATAGAAGCTTCGAAAATTACCTATATTACTGTAATAATACTATAAACGGGCTAAGGGCATAGTACCTAGATTATAATATTATAAAGGAGGCCACAACCCTGTTCTAAATACTAAGGCCCCTACATTAGGCACTATGGCGAGGGACGAAGTGCAAGGAACAGAGCCAGACTCAAGCTTTGGGGTAAGGGGCGCTAGGGCTTTTGGGATGTGACGGATGTTTAGGGGTGTGAGGTTGGGATTGAAGATCTAGGGCCCTAAACCCTAAACCCTAAACCCTAAACTCTAAACCCTAAACCCTAAACCCTAAACCCTAACCACCCGGCCTATCAGATGGGAAGTGTCGTCAGCCTCTGCTTTATGTTTGCAGAATCATCGGATGTTCAGGGGTCCTTCGGCCTTGTAGGCACTACTGCGCATCTCGCACCTATTCCGGATTCTGCGTCCGGGAAAGCAGCGATTGCTGGAAGCGCAGGTTTTCCAAACATCGCGAGTCCAGGGTCCATGTATTCGTTTCATATAGTCTGTATATACTTGAAGGCTCATGCTATCGGGTACCCGTAATGCCGGAAGGTAATTCAGTGTTGTAATATTCAGCAGGACCCTCAGTGCTTAGGTCGAGAGTTGCTTTATAAGCATTCCTTTTTTGCTCGATAGGAACGTAGGCTAATGTGGGCTGAGATGGACGGCGTGCATCCTTTTGCGACGTAATTTCTATGCAGTGCTCGAGGTGCAGCAAGTTCTCTTCGAACCCCGTCCTTATCCAAGAGTCTGACTATCCTGGGTAGTAGGCGGCTCAAGCTCCCTTTGAGCCCTGCTGCTTTAATTCATGTAAACGCCATAAAGCCCTATGACGCCCTGCGAAAACCGTAAAACCCCAATGCAAACCCGAAAACTTCGTCATAACCTCATCGAGCCCTACAACACCGTACAAAACCGGTAACGTCAGAATGTGAACCCTACATCCTGTGCGCTTTAGGGTTTAACCAGCTTGGTACAACGAACACCAAAGCGTCAGTCGATAGCAAGGTTTAGGGAACAGAGGTTATAGGGAGGAGCTGAAACTTCTAAGCCTTGCTGTGACTCTTTGCGAAGCATCCGAGCTATGCCCTTGTTCAGCTGCTGGCCAAGCTTCCCCCTCGCCCTGAAGAGGGCTTTCAACACCTAGGGTTTTAGGGACGAGTACAGTGTTGGCTGGCGGACGAGTGGCTAACTACCAGGCGTTCTTGCTTGCAAGCCTGCAGCAAAAAGGGTTTAGGTGATGCTTCGGGTTTGGCATCGACAGGAGCAAGATGCCTTCCGATGGGGCTCCAGTGACTTAAATAGTTGGCTGCTGGGTTATTTTTATATGCTTCGAATTTTGTGTTTATAAGTACTGCTGTATACATATATACATATATATATATATATACATACATATATATAGCTGTACAGACATGTAAGAAAATACTTAAAACTATTATGTAACTATCTACCTCAGATATACTATTGCATACCTATAACATACTAGAAGAAGATACCTCAAATATGCCTCGATAAACCTACCATATACCATATCTCTGCCCAAGGGTTCTGTTTTTCGAAACCCAGTCTAAACCCTAAACCCTAAACCCTGAACCCTAAACCCTAATCCCTAAACCCTAAACCCTATAAACCCTGTAGCCTCCTTTGCAGAGGCAGTGGGGAAGGTTCCCTGGATGCTGCAAAGCCGGAGGACTGCGACCACCGAAATGAAAGCCACGGTTTAGGGGTTTAGGGTGTAGGGGTATAGGGTTTAGGGGTATAGGGTTTGGGGGTATAGTGTGTAGGGTTTAGGGGTGTAGGGTTTTAGGGGTAGAGGGTTTAGGGTATAGGTGTTTAGGGTTCAGGGGTATAGCGTTTAGGGGTATAGGGTTTAGGGTTTAGGGGTATAGGCTTTAGGGTTTAAGGTTTAGGGGGATAGGGTTTTGGGGTCATAAGTTAGCTTCGAAGTGGTCCTTCGCTGGACCCCAAAGAACCTGCATTCTGACGCTTCCTGATTACAACTTCTTACATGAAAAGGTAGGTTCTTTGGGATTCAGGCAGGGTTCAAGGGTTTAGGGTTGGTAGATATCCTCCAAAGCCGACACCTGCAGGCATGCAGAATCTTCAGAGCGAGGGTTTGCGTTCGGCGGAGCATTTTGCCATCACCCTGCGATTCCGGATCTGGTTTGATGTTTTTGTCCCAGAGATTTGCTAGAATATCTGACATAGACCTGATGTAAAACTGTAGTGCTGGAGCCACTGCATGCGAAAACCATTTCGTTGCAACATGTTCATGACGAATAGTGCTTTCCGAATCTCCCCCTCTCTCTCTCTCTCTCTCTCTCGTCTTTCTCTCTCTCTCTCTCCCTCTCGCTCTCTCTCTCTCTCTCTGTCTGTCTCTGTTTCTCTCTCTCCCCCAATGTCTAGCGAGAGAGAGAGAGAGAGAGAGAGAAAGAGAGAGAGAGAGATAGAGAGAGAGATAGAGAGATGGAGACAGCGAGAGGGCCGTCCAATCACTATGTCTACAAGAATCCGCGAACAAGACTCTTCCGCTTAGCCGTTGAGGTCCTCCACTGTGCTTGCCATTGTTACTCAGTTGCCGCATTGTAGCGCGAAGCGGGCACAGTAGGCAGCAAACGTACCACAGTAATGCTCCCCGATACCTGCGACACTCTGACCTCCCTGAAGCAGCCCTGAACTTGGCTTTGCCGTGAACCTCAAAGATCTCCGCCAAACCGCGTTGCAGTAGCACATAAGGCTTTGAATGTACGAGGATGGACCTGCAGTATGGGATTTTGCGACTCACGGTTTGGGTCCAGCTTCCGGGATCTAGGGTACTATACAATGCAGATCGTAGATGATGCAGTACCTATAAAGATTACAGACACATCTACACAAGTGTTTGGGTAAATAAATACATCAACAAAGAGCGAATGTTTGAAATAAACATAGTTGTATTACGTTTACATATATATATATATAGATATATATATATATACGGTATACTCTGAAATAACAGCGTCTGATCATTTTTTGACGCAGCAGAGTTTTTTGACGCAACAGTGCTTGTTGAAGTGCTCTCTGTCGTGCGTGGAATTCGCAAGGCTTTTTGTTTTTGGTGGGTTGTTCCTTGTTGCTTTGTGTGTGTGTCTTGTTTCGTCCTGGGGTTTGGGGAGGGGCTGGATTGAAGCTAGACAAGTGCTGGCCGCTGGGACCGTACCATCTACCTGCAGTCTCCATTGTAGTTCCTTTTGGGGGATACCTTATAAATCCTTATAAATAGTTGGTTAAACCAAGAAAAGAAGCTACAATGGAGTCTCTAGGTAGGCCCTGACCCTAAACCCTAAACCCTAAACCCCTAAAAGGCCCTGAACCCTGGATTCCAGGAGCAAAACAGCCAGATTGGCAATCACATCTACTGGGTTTCAATGCCGAGCCATGATGGTCTGCCTTAGCTGCAGGGTTTAGGGTTTAGGGTTTAGGGTTTAGGGTTTAGGCTTGGCTTACAACTCAAAGAACCCTAGCATATCCTAAACCTCTAAAACCTATATAGACTATACCCAAGGGCTCCTATGTAGTTCCTTTTGGGATAGCATACGATAATTCCTTACAAAAAAACCACAACAAACCCAAAAAAGGAACTACTTTGCAGCCTCTGGGTAGAGCTCGGTATGAGATTGAACGGTAACCCTGCGTGCTTCCGAGTCACAGGAGTCGCCTGAGGAGTTGGAAAGACGCCGCTGGGCACAGGAATTATCATGTGGGAGTTTCCGAAAACAAGGGGTAGCTTATTTTGGGCTCCTTGTAACAAGGATCCTATTGTTTAGGGTACCCCTATATCGGAAACCCCCATGTCTAGCGGTTTAGCAGGGCGTTGGGTTTGAGTTTAGGGTAGTATTCTTCATGCTCAAACAGTTGTGAGCTCCGTAAACCCTGAATCTGCAACTCTAGTCACGAAGGAGGCAGAACCCAGAAGTCTCTATTCAAATCAACGTCCTAGGCGCCTAAACACAAATTTTGACAGCTGAGCAATAATATAGCAACCCTTGTTCAATCCCCGAGCTTACAATATAGTATACAAATTTCATTATTTGACATAGTGCTACGGTGCAGTTTTGCTATGGTTCCTCGGGGGCAAGCTGGGAATTCCAGAGCGACGTGCACAGAGGGTACTCGTACGTATAGTCTTGATACTTGCCCCAGTAATTCAGTAATACTCACACCATAAAATCAAGTAGACCCCTGATGAGCAAGACCCCTTTGTTTACTTCAGTGCCGAATAGTATAGCTCTTAAAGCTGTATTAAGGGATTGGGAGGTTATATAACTTACAACCTTGAGGCCTACCAAAGCCCTTTAAGAGTACATGTGGCTCACCCAGAACCTCCAAAACCCTTTGATTATGGGGTATATACCATAAATCATATTGAGAATCTTACTATAATTCCAGGTATATTCCTTAAGTAAGGGATTTTGGAATGTCTGGACAGCCTTCGCTTCGAAATATTTCAGTTGAAACCCTTCGCCATGTCCACAAGCCAAAGGATCCGAAACTTGGGTTTAGCATTACAGTCATAATTGCCGGGGCTTAGCGCGAAAAGGGTTTGGGGTTTAGGTAGGTTAGTTTGTTGGGAAGTCCTTGTTTATTCGGCACTTGGAGGTGTAGGGGTGGGGGTTAGAGCCTTCTACTCTAAGCCGCACAGCGACTGCAGCTGGTTGTGTTTGACCATGCCTGAGGTGCATGGCGGGTGGACCGGCTTACCCTAAACCATGCGCTTAATCGACAAACGCCGTCGTACCCAAACTTGCCAATCATACCCCTAAACCTTATAACCGATAAACTCTCACATGCACTTAGCTGTAAGCCCTCAAGCGTCAATGGCAATCCCAGCCCGTAAACCTAAACTCTTAGATCCTCTTGGCCTTTCATCTGAAGCCCTAAAAAGGCTCTCTGCTTCGATCTACACGACTGCATGGGAGTCCGGGAGGTTGTGCAACCAAATCAAAGCCTCGGAGCCCAAGGCCCGAACACAGCCCCTATCAGCCACCCTTCAAAAAATGTGAAAGCTTTTTTAATCACAAGAATGACATTTTTTAACGCAATAACATCACAGGAACATTCTAAGATAGCCATAGCAATAGTCGTAACCATATAACAATAATAACACAGTGTACTAGCAACTCTTCTTTGGCGGACGGTGTAGGCTTGAGGGCTTCCGGGATAATGATACTCTTTGGGGGGGTTTCATATTATGATTATGGTACCATAAAGTATAATAATGTACCCAAAACCCGAGTCCAATTATTGAAAAAAGGCCCTATAGTACTCATTGTTTTGGCGGACCTTTCGAACCCCTAGGCCCTAAGCGATAGCCCCTTCAACTCAGAACCCAGCACCACTCCCCAAACAAATGCACATGTGAATGGTCATGATAACGATCAGAATATTGATGTTCACACTAATAAGCATGCTAATGTTTCAGAGAGCAAGTTGCTATTCTGATGGCGATAATCCTATTCAATCATTATAGGTGGATAGGGCTCCAGTTACCGAAATTACGCGTTACCAGTTACCAACTATACAGACTATAGACGATGTACCGCAGCAACCCATTGAGTAGGAACCGGAGCCTTAGGGAATGTGTTCGAGTCCTGATTTCAAGGGACTAAGGGAGGGACCCTCAAAAGGGACCCTTGGGGTTATATAGGGGCTGTATGAGACTATATAAGGGGTATATAAGGGTGATATAGGCTATTTGGATTAGGGGTCCCTTCTAGGGCTCCCTCCTATTGTCCCTTCCTTCAATACCCTATATCACCCTTATATACCCCTTATATAGTCTCATAAAGCCCCCCCAAAAAAGACTCCAAGGGTCCCTTTAAGGGTCCCTTCTTTAGTCCCTTGAGTTCGAGTCCGGATTCCCGAAACCCTAAACCCTAAACCCTGTCCCTGGCATCTGTTAATGTTTCTTGAAGACGGTATCGTGGTGGACCCTGCCAGGCTTGTCCGAGTGTGAGTGTCATAAAAACCCTGTCCCTTCATGGTTCCCAGGTCAGAAGCGCCTCGCCCGCTTCGAATCAAATGCCGTGGCCAAGCCGTCTGCGTCGACGAAGCTCAGCCGATGTTTAACGTAGGGACCTTGATAATTAAAAAAAGGGTTTTGCGGGTTCCTTATCATAATTATAGTATAAGTAGTAATTAGAATAGGGTTTTGGGGGCGCCTTATTATAATTATATGGTATGATATACCGCGAACCCCCAAACCGTAAGGCGACAAAAAGAGGCCCTTGTGGTTTGCTTTTCCCTTCTTATGTCATTATTGATGTCCTTATTTCAGTCCTACGAATTAGACTTAGGGCTTTGGGGTCCATTATACTATAATTAAAATCAGGAACCCCCCAAAATAGTATAGGCCAGTCCTTACAAAGGCAGGTTTTTTGGTTACGGTAGGGTTTACGGGGGGGTTCGGGGGTTTCGGTCCTTGGAGGAGGCTTTCAGACTGGGGTGGGGCTGGTTTAGGGTTTAGGGTTTTCAGGTTCGTGCGTTTTAGGGCTGAGGCGTTGACGTTTAGTTCAGGGTATAGGAGTTTTGGGGTTTCGGGGCCAGCGGCGTTTTGTGGCTTCGAGCTCTTGGCATGAATTCTAGGGCTGCTTCCGGACGACAGTCTAAGAGTTCAGGTTCAAAAGCTCGGAATCCTGGTCCGGGGTTTAGTTAAGTTCACGGTTAAGGCTTAAAGTTTATAGGGCTTTGGCTTATCTGTCACGGGGTCCGGATGTCCTTGCCCCAAAGCGTAATTCCTGAGCGGTAAAATAATCTTGAGAGATGTGCAAATCTAGCATTCCGTCGCGTCAGTATGTGCCCACTGTGCACAAAGCTGCCATCTTGACCTGAACTGACGGTCCAGGGTTTAGGGGAACTATTGAATTGAGGGTGTAATTAAGCTGATTTGGGGGTTTCAGAAAATAGGGGACCCTAGTATAGTACCCCAAATAGTCGGATCCTTGTTATAAGGACCCCAAAAGAAGGTCCCCCTGATTTCGGAAACTCCCATTTGAGCCCTGGCCCGAACCCCGAAGAGTCGGCATAGCTACAAACAGAAGCAAAGATACTCTTCCCTTTAGGGCTTAGGGTTTAGGGTTTAGGGTTGAGCAGCCCGCCTCAAGCAGCTTACATGGGAAAATACCCCCAAGCCTTGTTCTAGTTCGCCGAGGCCCGATATTGCAGTAAGAAGGCCCTAAACAATAAAACCCTAAACCCTAAACCCTAAACCCCTAAACCCCTAAACCCCTAAACCCCTAAACCCTAAGAAACCCTAACATGGGGGCCTTAGATCGGACAGGGATAAAGGGGGCTTTTTCCCAAAGGTCCTTTGGCAAAATTAGAGAGTGTTGCATCGGTAGGCCATACATGCCATCTCACCATTATGTTCAGCGCACGGTTGTTCTTGGGACGCTCTTTCTTTCTCCTTCTCTGAGCCCACATGAATCAAATTAAACGAAGCTTCGCCTTTGCGGGAAGCTGGAGCCAGCTCGAGACGATGACATGGCTGGCACGGGACAGAACTGCCTCGAAGTTAGAAATCTTGCGAACAAAACATGGCCTGGTAAGCCGGGCA